ATTACAAAAGTGCTGTTTAATTATCTGCTATAAATATTGTCAGCTCTTAGGGACTACATAGTTGAGATTTTTTTCATGAACACAAGTTAGTATTTTTCAAGAGTATGCTTATAATTGCATTCAGATTTTGTTCTACAATTTTAATTTTCTAAATGGAACAGTATTTTAAATGAAAGAGTAACAAATTCCTGATTGTAGCTAAGTATTATAATAGTACTGTATTAATAAAAATTAAACTTTATGGAATTTACATGAATATAAATGTTTCTCACTAATGTTCCCTGTATCTTCCTCAAGTCAAATAAACATCTCATCTATCAGAAAATAATGCTTCTCTTGCATCAAGAGACACAAAGACTCTGCATCAGTATCTTAATTCCAGAGTTGTGTGAAAGTGAGATAGGCAACATATATATTTAATAAACAAATAGATAAAATTGTTGAAAAGCCATTCATACAGTTCCTGAGCAAATCAAAAGAAGTATGAAAGGCCATTAGAATCAAAAGTAAGACTATATACTATATCTCAATCAAAGAATACTAAATGAAGAATTTTCAGAAAGCAAGGAGGTAACTCAGAAAGCAATTTATAACAGCAGCCTAGACAGGTCTTGCAAATCCTCCACTTAGAGACAAACAACCTACTCTCCAATAAACAATTTGGTTTAAGAAAAAAACTATTCTGTAATCTGCAACTCTTACACTGCAAAAACATATGGACTACACAACTCGATCAGGGCAAAGCAATAGACACAATCTACATAGACTTCTGTAAAGCCTTTGATTCAGTGGTACACAACAAACTACTACTAAAACTAAAATCTTATGGTATCTCTGGACACCTTCATAACTGGATAGAAGCATTCCTGTCAAACATACAACAAATGGTCAAAATTGGGAGCGTCCTATCAAATTCTGTACCTGTCAACAGTGGTGCCCCCCAAGGCAGTGTTCTAGGACCAACTCTTGTCATACTCTACATAAATGACCTCTGTGATCATATCAAGAGCAACTGCATTCTCTTCATTGACGATGTAAAGCTATTCAGCATCACAGACTATACTGCTACCCTTCAAAAAGACCTTGACTATGTATCAGAATGGTCAAACAAATGGCAACTTCAAATCTCAACAAATAAATGCTCTGTCTTATGTATTGGCAAAAAAAATCAGAAAATAAAATACAAGCTGAATAATCAAGACCTTGTTGATGATCCAAACTCTGTCAAGGACCTTGGAGTACTCATCTCTAATGATCTAAGTACTAGAGCCCACTGTAACTACATAACCAAAAAGGCATTAAGAGTTGTTAACCTAATCCTACATAGCTTTTTCTCTGACGATATCACACTACTAACTAGAGCATACAAAACATTTGCTAGACCAATACTTGAATATAGCTCATCAGTCTGGAACCCGCATTATGTATCTGATATTAACACAGTTGAGAAAATCCAGAAATATTTCACAAGAAGAGTTCTCCATTTCTCTACTTGTTGCAGAATACCTTATGCCACCAGACTCGAAATTCTAGACCTAGAAAACCTAGAACTATGCTGCCTTTGGTCTGATCTAAGTATAGTATATAAAATTATACATTGCAATGTCCTACCTGTCAATGAATACTTCAGCTTCAACCATAACAATACAAAAGCACACAATAGATACAAAGTCAAGGTTAATTGCACCAAACTTGCTTGCAGGAAATACGACTTCAGCCACAGAGTGGTCAATGTCTGGAATACTCTACCTGACTCTGTGATTTCTTCCCCAAACCCCAAAAACTTTAACCTTAGTGTTATGTCTTTGGGACTGGTTGGGGTTCCCAACCAGGTCCGTTCTTTAAGCAGGAGCACCAGCAGCTCCCATTGGCTGGCTCCGTTTGACAGTCGGCTATAAAAGCCGGCTGTTGGGTTGAGCCAGTTGTTGTTTGCTAGCAAGTCTGCCTGTTAGCTGGTAGACGCGACAACCCTCGTTCTTTGAATAAAGCCTTGTTGATTGCATGCTCTGGTCTAAGCCTCTCCTTTCCTTAAACTACAACACTTAGATTGTCTATTATTGACCTCACCCCCTTCCAAAGAGGTCGTGTAGGGGGTGTGCATAAGCGCACCAATGTGTCTACCATCCCTGTCCTATTGTTTCTTTTTATTTTCCATTTATTTATTTTCCATTTATCCATTTCATGGATTCATAACTATGTTTATACTTATACCTGGAAATAATTACAGCATAAAATTTAAAAGAACTTATAGCAAAAAAGCAATAGTTACAACTATGTAGATGGATAAACAATCCATTCAGGAGAAAGGAATATTCAGTCATGACTGTATCATTAAACAAAAAGATTAAAAGAACTGTTCTATTCCTACCCATGCTTTGTTAACGGATCAAAAATCTAAAGTACTGACATTTTTCTTTAATGCTGTTTTCACCACTTCTTGCATATACTGTTTTTGGCAACAAACTGAAACTAGTTTCTATTATCTTCTCCAAGGATGGTTTTGTTTTGTTTTTGGACTTTCTGGTATAGCTACAGAAAGCTATACTCCTGAGATTTTCTCATAATTTTCAATTCACGTATTAATCAAGACCATCTTTGCTTGACTTTTTCAAGAGTACTACTTACTTGATAGTATCGACTTGCATTCAAGCTGGATTCATACATGAAATAATACAATACATGAAATAATGTGATAAACATTTACATTATTCTATAAACCTAACATGAATTATAATACATATCATTTAATATATTCTGTGAATTTTGATTTGTCTCAGCATTTCACAAGAACAAAAGCTCTATCTTGATGAAATACTTCTGCACTTGTTACTCACAATAAAAATATTGTTTTGTAAATTAATGAATCCCTAATCAGAACTGAATCCAGATGAAAGACCCTTCTCTTATGTAAGAGGTGTCATATTGGCCAGATTCTTGGAACAAATAAGTTCTTCTCATGTTCTGTTTACGCACATGATCTACTGTAAAGCCTACATATCAAAACACTTTCTTGTGTGCTTCATTTTAATTTGGCATACCTGAAGGAAAAGAATACTCACGTGCGAATGCTATTTGTTGATTTTACTTCAGCATTCAACACAATTATTCCTCAGCATTTGGTGAACGAACTATGTATATTAGACTTTAATACTTCTTTTTTGTAACTGGATACTTGATTGAGTACGCATTCCCCATAGGTCCGTGTCTAGAGTCCATTATTTACCAAAGACAAATTCCTTGTATGTCCAATCACATTTGGCCAATAAAGAATTCT